CCGGGGGGCGACGCGACCGTCGACGGGGGGCGACGCGCGGGTCGACGGGGCAGAAAACCGCCGCGCGCCCCGAGCGCACGGCGGGCAGAAAACCGCCATGCGCCCCGAGCGCGTGGCGGGAAGAAAAAAGCGTCGCGCGCAACGGGGCGCGCGGCAGACAGGAAAGCAGCGGAAGCACGTGGGGCCCATAGGCCAAGAGCGTAAGAGCTCTAATACCATGTCAGAATAGTAGGCAGAACGAGGAGCCATAGCTAGGGTTTAGCTAGCTAGGCAAGAGAAAATAGGCAAAGGAGGGGTTGAACTAGCAAGCAGGTGGATACATATAGGAAACCCTAAGGGGCCGTACTCACTATAGAGTACCCCACTGCAGGCTAGACAAACTACACATTCTGACATACGGTAGCTATGCAATTCAGTTAATAAGGGAATGTACCCCTCAGAGTACATAGCTAACTAGTTTGCTTTTTATACCCCTGTACTCCTATCTTATAATTATCTTGTTCTCTTTCTATTATTATTAACAAGGTCACTACAAAGACTTCATTGTCTTCTCTCAACTTAGCAGTCTTATCCTATCCACTACGATTCCCGGTTATATCAGCAGAATACGCGAAAATTGCGAAGGGCACGAATTGCGTTACGATAGGTACAGTCCTCGCGAAGTGGAAGAGCGTGAAAAAGTGTCACCATCCACTTCGGATAGTACCAAAGTTCCGAACCGTCGATTCAGACGGTCCTATCCTCGTTATTATGACCGTCTGAAAAAAAAAAAAAAAAAAAAAAAAAAAAAAACAGTCTGTCCGCAAAAATTCAAAATGGCAAAATGGTTACACGACAGGCAAAGTGCAATTTTGGCGACATAGACAAGCGCAACCCAAATAGACAAGACCCAGACGATTTTTTGGATTTGCCCGAGAAAAGTAGACAAGAAAAGACAGTGCTAAGAAAAAGCTTTTATATATTTATAAAAATATGACTTTCGACATTTCGCAAACACGTCCTCTGAAATCTACAGTGACCGTTAGCGACTGTCGCACAAAGAGGGGTCGCGTAGAGATGTCGTCAGTAACAAGCAGAAATGTCGAGACGTACAAAATGATATGCTTATATAGATTACATTGCAGAAGGTCTCTCACAAAGATGCCATAATGGAAGCCACAGATTTGGCTAAGTTTTGGGGAAAAAATAGTGGGTTTTTTTTTTTAATGGTTGCGATAGATTTAGGTATCCTTTGTTACGATCAGAAGGTTGACCGAGCCTAGGATCACCTCAGGAAGGTTCGCACAGAGTTTGTTGCAGCGGAAGAATTGACCCCAAGCCAGAGTGATGTCAAGAATACTGAACGAGAATGAATGAACTAGGAACAAAGTGGGTACAAGTACTAACCCTAATTGGTTGTACCCTATATGGGCTACCCCACTACAGCCTACACAACATAATAGTTTGACACACCCCCATAGGCAAAGTGGGGGGAGAACAAGGGGTCACAAGACCAGTCAAGGAAAGCAAAGCAAGCTCAGGGTGGATCACGAAGTCACCACACACTCTGAGCACAAGCAAATGGCCACAAGGCCAGTCCACAAGCAAAGTTATATCATGGAGAACAAACAGTACAGTGATCAAAACCTAGCAAGTGTAAGCAGGCAGGTATATATATATAGATCACAATACAAGCAAAGTCACGAAGTGAGCAAGTGAGACCAAGAAGGCACAAGGCCTAAAACAGTACAGAAACGCTAATGATCACAAGGCTGAAGTGCCTTGGTGAATATATCAGCAGTGTTGGCCCAAGAGGCCACGTAAGCAAGACGAAGTTGACCACGCTGCTGCAACTCTCGAGCAAGGAAGTAACGCAGAGCGATGTGCTTCGTCCTGTGCTCCTGTTTGTGCTCCTGACACAAGGCAATCATGGCCTTGTTGTGGATGTACAGAACTGGAGGAGAACGAGGCGGCTCTCCCAAGTCGGTCAGGAGGTAGGTGAGCCAGCGTAACTCCTGTGCAGCCATGGCCCCTGCGTAGATCTCAGCCTCACAACTGGAACTGAGAACAGAAGACGAGCGGGTAGACTGCCAAGATACAGAGCCGGAGCCAAGGCTGAAAGTGTAACCCTGTGACGACCGCTGCGTAGCCAAGTCGTCAACCCAAGAAGCGTCTGCGTGTCCAGTGAGGACAACTCGACCCCGTCCTCCAAGCACGAGACCCATGCCCGACGTACTGCACAAGTAGCGCAACACCCTCTTAGCGGCCTCCCAGTGCTCTGGTCGGTGTCTCCCGGCCGCAACGTAGCGTGCCAGGATGCTAAGAGGGTAGGCAAGGTCAGGTCGAGTGCAGGTCATCAGGTACATGAGGCAGCCCACAAGCTCTGGATACGGGTCACTCGGCTCTATGGACTCATCCGAAGGTGGAGCTGAGAGCGAGTGATCGGTAGGCAGAGGAGTGGACTGTGGCGAGGAGTACTGGAAGTGGAAGCGCTGAAGGACCTGCTACACCATGTGTGACTGAGTCAAGGTAATGGTGCGCCGTGCTCTGTCCCGGGTGATCTGCAAGCCAAGATAGCTGCGCAGCTCACCCAGGTCCGTGCACGTGTGTCTCTTCTGCAGCTCCGACTTCACAAGGGCCAGTCCCTCAGTGTCAGCAGTGGCAAAGACCAAGTCGTCGACGTATACGAGGATGTAGAACGGCGGTAGCGAAGTGTCGGTGCGTAGAAACAGCGACGGGTCAGCAGTCGAAGGAGCAAACACAAGAGCCGCAAGCGTCGTCCTCAGTGTGTCGTGCCTCTCGCGAGGTGCCTAGCGGAGACCGTAGACTGGCCACCAGAGGCTCCACTGGGTACCTGCAGGAAACGACCCAGTGAAGCCAGGTGGGCGGCGCAGCCACATCTCCTCGTGCAGGCTGCCCTGTAAGAAAGTTGTGCTGAAGTCAAGAGAGTGAAGCTCATAGTCACGCTGAGCGGGGACGTGCAGTAGCACCCGAAGAGTGGTCATCTTCGGGGTAGGGGAGAAGGTTTGGAAGAAGTCAACTCCCTGTCGCCGACTAAAGCCTCGTGCAACGTAACGCGCCTTGAAGGCAGGCGGAGAACCCGGCGGCCGCTTCACCCTGAAAATCCACATGCCATCGACTATGTTCGCCCCAGGAGGGGGAACTGCGTCGACGTAAGTGCCCGTGGACTTTCAGGATGCCATCTCTGCGTCCATGGCTGTCTGCCACTGAGAGGAGTAGGGACCCGTAATCGCCTCTGCGTAAGAGCGCGGGGTCGGGATGTCTGGTGCATCCGGGTCTCCCTCAGGTGCAATCAGTATGGACACGAGATGAGGAACAGCAGCTGCAAAACACTCAAAGTCCTCCTGCTTGTCCTCAAGGACGTCCGTGCCAATAGCACACTCACCCCCGACGGATGGGGGACAGTCAGACTCAGACTCAGCAACAAGACTAGCGGCGTAGTCGAGACAACAGGCAGCAGCAAAGTCAACAAGTTCAGCAACAAGGGCAGACGTAGCAGTTGACTCAAACGAAGGGTCAGTGACAACGGTGGCTAGAAGACGTGTGACAGTAGGACTGGCAGCACGAGCAAGGCCGGACACAGGGTCAGGACAGTCAGGAAGAGAGGATGCAGGAGGAGACTGGAGAGGGACATGCTGTGGAACAGAGGAAGGACGAAGTGCCATAGGGTGCGTGCTGGGGACAGGAGGAGGACGCTGATGAGGAACATGACGGCCAGTGCGAACAGCGCGAACAGGCGACGCAGGACGAGACGCTGGCTTACGACTCTCTGAAGGAGAGTCTGTGTGCTCAGTGTAAGGAGAAGGAGCAGGCAGTGGGGAGTCTGGCTGTAACTGCGGCTGCGACTGGTCAGGCGGTGGACACAGTAAGGGAGGAGTAAGGCCAGTAGAAGACGGGAGACCAAGAACATGCTGAAGCAGTGGAACGAAGTACAGTCGCGGCCGCACAGTGCCTCTAGAACCAGCACTGACAGCACCAGCACCCCCCGGGCCAGCACCTCCAGCTCGAGGGTCTCCAGCTCCAGGGTCTCCAGCTCCAACGCCTGCAGCACCACCAGCTCCAGCAGCTCCAGTACCTCCAGTACGAGCACCTCCGGGACCAGCGGCTCCAGCGCCTCCAGCACCTCCAGCACCTCCAGGACCAGCAGCTCCAGCGCCTCCGCTACCTCCAGCTCCAGCGCCTCCAGCTCCAACGCCTGCAGCACCTTTAGATCCAGCAGATCCAGTACCCCCAGTACGAGCACCTCCGGGACCAACGGCTCCAGCACCTCCAGCACCTCCAGGACCAGCAGCTCCAGCACCTCCGGTACCTCCAGCTCCAGCGCCTCCAGCTTTAGGGTCTCCAGCTCCAGTGCCTGTAGTACCACCGACTCCAGCAGCTCCAGTACGAGCACCTCCGGGACCAGCAGCTCCAGTGCCTCCAGCTCCAGGGCCTCCAGCGGCAGGCCCCCCAGCTCCAGTAGCGCCACTCCGAAGGCTCCAGCGCCGAGCAAACCACTCGCGCAGCTGCGGTGGAGAGAGAGGCTCCCGCCGTGACGAAGCACCCGTAGGACCTCCAGCAGACAAAGTACCTCCAGGCTCAGCACGCTCAGGCTCAGCTGTTACAATACGATCTGAGCTGGTAACCGGGTTTAACTAGGCGCCTAGGCTTAGTAGCCTGTGCCAAGCGGGTGTCGAGTAGTTTGTGCCAAAGGAGGAATGTCGAGAATGAGTTGAGCTTCACTATAAGTTTAGGGAACATATAGCAAAGAACAAACGGATGCACCACCAAGCAAATAATTAGATAACTACACTACAGTAACTACAGCAAGCAGGATATATTAAATATAACTTTAACACACCCCCTTAGCCTGCTTGCAGTAATAACTAGTGCAGTCAACACCCCCCGAAAGGGGTACACCTGGCGCAGTGGATGACGGCAGAGAGTTAAATGAGGAGGAGGAGGCGAGAGGGAGAGAGGAGAGTAGAGGGGAGAAGTATCAAGGAGGAGGTGAGAGAGGGATGAGGCGAGGAGTTGAGGGGGAGCCACCCGTGGCAAAACCCTCGTAGTAACCCCCTTTTACAAAGGGGGGAGGTGAGAGAGTGACAAGGAGAGGAGGTGGGGGGGAGCCAAGCATGGGGAAACCCCTCTTAGTAACCCCCAAATCCCCAAACCCATTCAACCACCCCCCCTTAACCTCACCCCCCATAACAGCCGCCCCCTTGGACCGCACCCCCCCCCCCCCCCCCCCTTCCTTCCTCCACACCCCTGCCCCACCCACGGTAGTCCCTGCAGCGGGGTCTTTGCGGGCGGTGTAGCTGCTGGCGGGGTCTCTGCTGGCGGTGTAGCTGCTAGTGGGGACTCTGCTGGCGGGGGTCTCTGCTGGCGGGGGTCTCTGCTGGCGGGGTCTCTGCTGGCGGGGTCTCTGCTGGCGGGGTCTCTGCTGGCGGGGTCTCTGCTGGTGGGGTCTCTGCTGGCGGGGTCTCTGCTGGCGGGGGTCGCTGCTGGCGGGGGTCTCTGCTGGCGGGGGTCTCTGCTGGCGGGGTCTCCGCTGGCGTTGGTCTCTGCTGGCGTTGGTCTCGGCTGGCGGGGTCTCTGCTGGCGGGGGTCTCTGTTGGCGGGGTGTCTGCTGGTGGGGGTCTCTGCTGGTGGTGTCGCTGCTGGCGGCTGGCGCTGGTGCTGGTGCCTGGTGTCGGTGCTGGTGCTGATGCTGGCAGGCGTCCCGCCGTCACCCCTTTCCCCCTTTTCGCCTCCCCCCCACAGCGCTCCGCCGCCACTCCCTTCCCCTCCTCCCTCTCCCCCCGAAGCGACCGCCGCTGCACCTGCGAACAGTCGCGACGGAGGGGGGTGACGGGCAGGGGGCGGGGGGAATGCGACGGGCAGAGCGACGGCGCGCGAAGAAGCGAGTGTCACTAGTGCGAAGGTGAGTGAGGAGGTCGGCAACTGTGGCAAAGGCGGACAGCTCGGGAAAAAGGTAGGGCAGTATAAGGCGGCCTAGAGAAGCAGTGGCCGGGGAGGAGTAACGAGCGACTACAGCGTCGTACAGGGCTCTAGCAGTTTTGTGCTGGCCAAAGTGAGCGTGTTCGGCTAACGGCAAGTGTTTGCGAACGGCTAGGCAAGCAGCAACGTCACGGGTAAGCCACTGTGAGAGAGTCGCACTGTCACCTGTGTCGGGAGGGGCGAGAGAGGCTCCAGACGTGAGGTCAAACAATGAAACTCCGTCTCTAGAATCGCTCAGTAGGTACAGCTGCAGGTCATCTAGCCACGCATCGAACTCGATCGGATGGCCCTCATGGTCGAACGTGAGGACGCTGAGAGTGTCAGAATATGTTGTTTGTGTAGCCTGCAGTGGGGTACTCTATAGTGAGTACAGCCCCTTAGGGTTTGCTATTTGTATCCTGCTGCTTGCTAGTTCAATCATTCCTTCTCAATTCTGTTCCTACACACATTCCTAGCTCGTTCTTGGCTCCTCGTTACTAGTCCTACTGTGGCCTAGGCTACTAAGCCTAGGCCGTACTCCTACTACTTCTGATATGGTATCAGAGGGCGGCATGTCTGCCGCCTTCCTGTGTATGGGCCCACCACCCGCTTCCGCTGCCGTACTGTCCGCCGCGCGCCCCGTGGTGCGCGGCGGCGAAACCCTAATTTCTGCCCGCCGCGCGCTCGGGGCGCCTGGCGGTTTTCCCTTCCGTGGCGCCCGTCGTGGTGCCCTTGGGGGGGCCTCCGCGGTCCCCTCCCGTCGAAGCGCCCGTCGAGGCGCTCTCGGGGACCCGCGCGGCCTCCCCTCCCGTCGCCCGTCGAGGCGACCTCGGGGACCCGCGCGGCCTCCCCTCCCGTCGCCCGTCGAGGCGACCTTGGGGGCCCGCGCGGCCTCCCCACCAGTCGCCCGTCGTGGCGACCATGGGGGCCGCGCGCGGTCCCCTCCCGTCGCCCGTCGAGGCGACTTCGGGGGCCGTGCGCGGCCCTCCCTGTCGCCCGTCGAGGCGACTTCGGGGGGCCCGCGCGGCGCCCTCCCCGTCGCCCGTCGAGGCGACTTCGGGGGGCCCGCGCGGCACCCTCCCCGTCGCCCGTCGAGGCGGCTCTGGGGGCTCGTCGCAGCGCCCTCCCTGGTGCCCGTCGCGGCGCCCCGGGGGGGGGCCGCGCGGCTCCCTTCTCGTCGCCCCTCGGGGCGCCCTGGGGGCCGTGCGTTTCCCCCCCCCCCCCTTCTGCCTTTCAACTGCCGCGGCCGCCCCTGGAGCCGCCCGCCACTGCAGCAGCAGCCCCTGGAGCCGCCTGCCACTGCAGCAGCAGCCCCTGGAGCCGCCCGCCACTGCAGCAGCCGCCCCTGGAGCAGCCCGCACCTGCAGCAGCCGCCCCTGGAGCAGCCCGCACCTGCAGCAGCCGCCCCTGGAGCAGCCCGCACCTGCAGCAGCCGCCCCTGGAGCAGCCCGCACCTGCAGCAGCCGCCCCTGGAGCAGCCCGCACCTGCAGCAGCCGCCCCAGGACCCGCGCGAGCCGCCTCTGCAGACGCCCGCCCCGTCCCCCCCCCCCCCCCCCCCCCCGTGCTGCCCATTGCTCCCATTCCACCGTGCGTTCCGCGGTGGCTGGGGTGTGGGGTGGCGAGCATGGGGGTGAGAGGTGTGGGTTCTCCCCTCCTCCTTTTTCGTCTCCCACTGCTGCAGCTGCCGCTGAGGGGGGTGGAGGTGTGGGAGTCGTGGGGAGTGGCACTAGGGGGGTGATGTGGGAGTGGAGCTAGGGGTGAAGCAGGGGGTGTGTGAGAGGGGTGTGGGACTGTTGGGGGAGGTTGACTGGAGGCTGCTGTCTTGTCGTCCGCAGCACCTGTAGTCCGGGGCGCACTGTCCTGGTAGCTCAGAGAGCCTGCTGCACCTGTTGCCCGTGGGTCCGTTGCTCCTGCCGCTCGTCGCAGCCGCAGAGCCTGTTACTCCTGTATTCCGGGACGCACTGTCTCGGTAGCCACTGAGAGCCTGCTGCACCAGTCGCCCGTGGGTCCGTTGCTTCGGCCGCTCGTCGTAGCCGCAGAGCCAGTTACTCCAGTATTCCGGGGCGCTCTGTCTCGGTAGCCACTATGTCAGCCGCCACTGTGTCAGCCGCTTCTGTTGCCCGTGTGTCTGGAGCTTCAGTCGTCGCCTCCCATCTTCTCTCCTTTCATAGTCCCTCCTCCTCCTCACTTGCCCTCTGTGATAGCCTCTAGCTTTGCTGATAATTATGAACTATTGCTATGACTGCTCATTGTGCTGATTACACCCCACTTTGGCTATGGGGGTGTGTCAGAATATGTTGTTTGTGTAGCCTGCAGTGGGGTACTCTATAGTGAGTACAGCCCCTTAGGGTTTGCTATTTGTATCCTGCTGCTTGCTAGTTCAATCATTCCTTCTCAATTCTGTTCCTACACACATTCCTAGCTCGTACTTGGCTCCTCGTTACTAGTCCTACTGTGGCCTAGGCTACTAAGCCTAGGCCGTACTCCTACTACTTCTGACAGAGAGTAGCCATAGCGGGCAGAGCAGGGTGGCGCGCGCGCAGCAGGGCAGCACGCAAGCAAGGACGGCGCAACGGGCAGGACGGCGCGGCACACGGCTAGGGAAGGGCGGCACAACTGGCAGGGCAGGGCGGCGGCCAGCAGGGCAGGGCAGGGCGGCGGCCAGCCGGGCGGCACGCGGGCAGGGCAGGGCAGGGCGGCGACCAGCAGGGCGGCGCGCTGGCAGGGCAGGGCAGGGCGGCGGCCAGCAGGGCGGCGCGCTGGCAGGGCAGGGCGGCGCGGTGGCGAGCGGCGCGCGGGCAGGGCAGGGCGGCGCGGCGGCGAGCAGCGCGCGGGCAGGGCAGGGCGGCGCGGCGGCGAGCGGCGCGCGGGCAGGGCAGGGCGGCGCGGCAGCGAGCGGCGCGCGGGCAGGGCAGGGCAGCGCGGCGGTGAGCGGCGCGCGGGCAGGGCAGGGCCGCGCGGCAGCGAGCGGCGCGCGGGCAAGGCAGGGCGGCGCGGCGGCGAGCGGGGCGCGGGCAGGGCAAGGCGGCGCGGTGGTGAGCGGCGCGCGGCGCGCGGGCAGGGCAGGGCGGCGCGGCGGCGAGCGGCTCGCGGGCAGGGCAGGGCGGCGCGGCGGTGAGCGGCGCGCGGGCAGGGCAGGGCGGCGCGGCGGCCAGCGGCGCGCGGGCAGGGCAAGGTGGCGTGGCGGCGAGCGGCGTGCGGGCAGGGCAGGGCGGCGCGACGGCCAGCAGGGCGGCGCGCGAGCAGGGCAGGGCGGCGTGGCGCTAGCAGAGCAGCGCGACGGGCAGAACAGGGCAGCGCGCTGCCAGCAAGACGGTGTGACGGGCAGGGTAGGGCAACGCAACTGGTGGGGCGGCGCTACGGGCAGGGAACTATTCGGTGGGCCAAAAAAAAAAAACGGTTCTGGAACAGGACCTGCTCTGAAACCATGTCAAGAATACTGAACGAGAATGAATGAACCAGGAACAAAGTGGGTACAAGTACTATCCCTAATTGGGTTGTACCCCATATGGGCTACCCCACTACAGCCTACACAACATAATAGTTTGACAAGTGAATGTAAATTGACAGATAATAATAACATGCAAATACATTTGTTTATATCAGAGTACAAGGGAATACGAAACGACCTAGACTAGCCATGTACTCTAAGGGGTACATTCCCTTATTGCAGCGAAGTGCAACCATGCAACTCCAGACGGTTACGGACCTGTTCCCACCATAATCATCGCCACTGAAGTTGCCCGATGCTTCTGCTCCGACAGTCCAGAGTGTTTCAGTGTACTTGGCAGCTCAGAGATGGATGGCTTCTGGCGCGTAGGTGATGTTAAGGCCCAGGAACTGCTTCATGTCATGGTTGGTGGTGATCTCGACACGCATCACTAAGTTATTCTCAAACTGGTCGAGCAGGGTGTTGCTTGTCCCTGTGTAGAGCAAATCGTCGACATACACGGTGAGCAGGATGTAATTGCCGCAAAAGTGGAAGCGATACATGCCTGGATCGTGCGACAGCTGCGTGAATCCTATCTCAAGCAGGATTTTGTGCAGGTGCTGCTGCCAGAGCCGTGGCGCTTGCTTGATCCTGCAAAGAGACCTTTTTCAGTTGACAGACGCGTGGGTCCCCTTTGCCGTAATTGTGCGGTTGCTCCACGAAAATCACTGCGTCAACTAACGTGTAGAGGGATGCGTTCCTCACATCGATCTGGCAGAGAGGTAAGTGCCTTGCTGCAGCTATGGAGAGCAGGATTCTGACGGAGGTATGACGGCTGACCGGCGCGAAGGTCTGATCGAAGTCGATGTACAACCCAACGCTCCTTGAAGCGCTCGATTGTCCCGTCTGCTGCGGTCTTCATGCGGAAGACCCATTTCCCCAAAAGCACTCTCCTTCCTTTGATTGTTGTGCGGTCGATGAGTACCCAGGTGTCTCGTGACTCTAGTGCCTTGATTTCCACATCCATGGCAGCACGCCACTCCTTGCTGTGCAGTCCTGTCAGTGCCTGTCGCGGCTTCTTTGGTTCGATGACACATGGGGCCGTGGAGATGGCGATATCAAGTCCCAACAGCTGTAGTCCTGAGACAGTGCTATCGTGGCCATGCTGCGGGACGACTTCCTTCACGTCGTCGTCGTCGCTCTCTGGCTCACGTGGAGACTGCGGCGCGGGTCTCCTGCTACTGCCTCCTGCACCTCCTGGAGGAGTTTTGTCGTCGTCGTCATCGTCGTTGCTGCGACGGTCGATCTCGGGGAATTCACTGATGTTGTCCTGCTCCAGGATGGCAGCGGCGGCTTCGTCCTCATGGGTGGCGTAGCTGTGCCCGTCATTTACGCAGACCCGATTTCCGTATTGAGCGAGATTCAGTCGCTCGTAGAAGAT